AATTAATGTAATTTGTAAGTAATTGTAAGTAATGTGTGTGTGTGTGTGTGTGTGTGTGTGTGTGTGTGTGTGTTTCTTCACTCAGAGGGAAGAGGGTAGGAGAGGCAGGGAGGGCAGTCCGTCAGCTTTCTTTCTCTGTGTCGGGGCAGTGTTTGTTTCTTCACTCAGAGGAAAGGGGGTAGGAGAGGCAGGGAGGGCAGCCGCCACCTTTCTTTCTTTGTGTCGGGGCAGCCCGCCAGCAGAGGCGGGTCTTTTACCCACCTCTGCTGGTGGGCTGGCGCTTTCTTTCTTTTGCTGCAAAAGAAAGAAAGTGGCTTTTGGCCGCCCCGCCGCTATGTCCGACATAGAGGTGTCCTGCCTCTATGTCGAACATAGCAACGGGGCAGGCAAAAGCTGCTTTCTTTCTTAAAAGAAAGAAAGCGGGGATGCCTCTATGTCGGACATAGCGGCGGGGCGGGCAAAAGCCACTTTCTTTCTTTTTGCCTCACCAGCCATAAACCTCCCCACACGTCACTGCTACCTCCCTCCCTCCCTCTACAATGTTGAAGAGCAGAATTAAAATAAAATGGAATACTCAAATTAGCATTCATAATTCAAGATTCCAAAATCAAAAGAGCCCTTATTTTTAATCCTGATTTTCTAAAAATAAACCTAAAATTATTTTATGTGTAACAAACATGAATATTTCTTATTTAACAATAGTTTAATTTAAAAAAAAAATCTTCTATGTTTACATTTTAAATCTAGTTACCATTGTATAGTGCACTTACACTTGCTTCCATAGAAACAGGTATTAAAGGATTTAATTGGGCAGAACATCTAATAGTTTTTTTTCCCCAGTCATTGATGTGTTGACAGGTTTGCTCACTTCTAAAAATGAATCTATCATTGAAAACACTGAAGATCTTTACAATTAGCTTAAAACATGAATGAATTTGATTAATAGCATGTACTCCAATTCTCCTTACACTTTTTTCCATTTGTGGCACAGTCTAATATTAACAGACTGTTCTTATTATTTGTCTGTATGTGGTCACTATGAGTCAAAAACAACTCAATGGCACATAATCTCATTATTTGTGCTAGTGAATTGAAAGTTTACTTTTTGGGAGCCCCTATTAGAAAGCAACATTTTATAAGATTTTAAACTGTGCTAATCTAACTGTGTGGAATTTCTTACGGCATTTATTACAATGATAAAATAAAAATAAAAATGAAAAGGTTATACTTAGATAGCTTATTGATATAAATATTTTCCTCCCACAAATATTTCCTACGTCATCTGTCAAGAATATATATCAAAAAATATATTGCTTCTTTTGCTATTTTCACAATCACTATCACAGAATAGAATTTGACAGGATCTCCTAGGCAATTGTGCAAAACTCCCAAAGATCCCTGAAGTGCTAAGACAGTTATGGAAAATGCAAACACTACATTTCCTACCATCTCTCATAATAATTATGCAAGAATTAAGCTATACATAATTTATGGTTTTACAAAAATCCTGTCATATTTAAACCACAACCAGAATGTACAAATAAGTGGGTTAAATTTGATCTTGTCAAACTCATGATTTGTAGACTTCACAATGGATGAGAATTGTGGTCTTACTGTGGGTATTATAAAAACCTTGAAAAACTTGCCTTTGAATTCTAAAACATTTCTAAACCTGTGCATAAGTATAAAACTTTCATACATGTAAACAAACATACACATACTGAAAGAGCGTCTCAGTAAATATTATAGGATACAAACAATGCATTACATTTACTAGCACATGAGTTCAAATAGCATTATCTTACCTGAAGTTCCTGAATAGCAGATATAACAAATAGGAAACAAATAAAGAAAAGCTTGTGTAAACATATTTGATTTAAATATACTTACAGTCATTACTGCAGCTGACCAATTTATTCCTGTATTTCATTTTTAAAAGCTTAAAATACTGTAACATTTGTTTGAAAAACAAATTAAAATACTAAATCACTTTTCTCTTAACCCAACTAAATGATCCAACTAAATTAAATTCATATTCACAAAAAATAAAAAAATAAAAAAATGCTAAAAAAGTGGGGGGGGGGGGAATCCTAGAACAGGTTTAATTTGTTGACATTAATTCGTCCTGTATCTCGTAAGTTCAGATCTATTAAAGCTACAGTAAGAAAATGAGCCAAATTCTACACACTAACCAGGGAGGAAGACCTAATGTACTCAGAGGGACATGAAGGGGACATGCATAGAATTTTCTTGAAAACCAAAACAGAGTTACCTTCTTCCCTGAGACAGAATCTGCTTTTTATTTTTTTATTTGTTAAGAGCAAAGAAGTTAGAGTCAATAACAGGAAACATATTACACCACCACCTAGCAACATTGCTATTGTTACTGAACATGTTTTTCCATTATACATGCATTCCACTTTGTATCCTGATACCTACTGTCCCAGCTGAAGTACAGGCTCAATATTTAGAATACCTAATTATCAATATCTCACATTGATAACTGTTGGAAAGAAATGTAGAATTTCAGGAATTATTCAGCAGATTTGGCTCTGAGTTTTGCTATCAAAAGAATAAAATTTGTACCATAATTCCTGTTCTAATTCCAGATCAATTATTTAAAATTCCTTGCATCGTTTTACTTACAAAACATTGTTACTCCAGCAAATATATTTTCTTTAGAATGCTTTGTTAAAATATTCCAAATTTAAACATAGCACAGGGCAAAAATTGGGTTTTATTTCAATTAATTTATTTCCAGTTCAGCTCATCAAAAGTAGAATAATGGAATTCAATCAGCTTGGTAGTGATAGATATGCTTCAGACCCTGATGCTCTCTCACCCTCTCTCATCATTGACATTAGCAATCCTGCTGAATAAGTTTCTGAACAGATCAAGACACCAAGTTGTTGCTACTACTTCTCCTGTCTCCTTCTCTTCAGGACAGCCAATATCTGACCTGTTATATAGGGGATCTTTATCTTTAATGTGGCAAGACGATTTATTTACAGGCTTGAGGAGAGGCTCATAGGTGATATTACCTTCCCTAAATTATTTCTTATTTTATGAATCCCCTTTCTTTCCTACATTCACTGTCTGTTTTTCTTTGCAGAAGGGAATGGGCCGAGATATTGTCAGAACACTAAACAGTGTTCTTTAGCACCAAATGCTGATCTTTTCTCTAGATAACCAGAAGCAGTTATTTCTAGAGGGAAGGGATCCATATTAGCTACAAAAATATTATTTAGAAATAAAATAAAAAACACAAACAAGACATGCAGATTAAATGCTAGCAATCTGCTAGCAGCAACTTTTCAGCAACTTCAATTAAAACAGACAAGCCTTTACCTGCTGAGACATAATTACAGGCCCTCAAGCTCCTGTTTTTCTTCTACAGACCACCAGGCTTTCTAAGTGCACTCTCTTAAGGTAGTGGAAGCATTAAAGATTTACACAGAGAAAGCTTTAGCTTTCTGGAAAGTCATTGATGTAATTGCCTGCTCTTATAATGGTTGTGCAATGGGTTTATGAGGTATGTATTCAGATCATCAATCAGCATGTCAGGCGGATGGTTAAGAATGCTTAAAGTATTGTATTTTATTTTAATGTATGGAAAACAAGATGTTTAGCTTTAATTTTAGTATTAGAGTAGTTTATTAAGCTCTAACGTTGTGCTAAGGTTTCCATGCAGGGCAGCAAAGTAACATAAACCTTAAAATATATTTGGCATGGTAACTTGCCGAGTGTTATATCCTTTTACCCCCTATTGTTAAAAACGTTCTGAAAATGTTCATGCAAAATCAAGATTATAGCTACTCAGTTATGCACTTACTAAAATATAAACAGAACACTATTACTACTTCGAAGGGCAAATATGGGGCTTAATCTATGACAAGAGTAAAGGTTTTTCAAAAAGAATGTACCGTACCTCACCATCTTCTAATTCCACATCTAGGAAATCAAAATCTCTAAAGACTCGGAACTGTTGCTCGCTGTTAGAATCATCCATATTCTCTTGTTCACGTTGTCCGTCTTCTGAAGCTACCAGACTATTTTGGTGCTCAATCAGATCCAAATCTCCACAGGAAGAAAAAATGACCTAAACATTGAAAAGGGATGACTTTCTTTTAAAAATTCTTCTACGGTTCCTTCTACTAGTCTTAAAACTAGTGGACTATTCAGAAACAGTATTTTCAGTACACACCTAATTCCTTCAGAGTATTTTTAGAAGATTCTTTTTTATTATTTATGTTGGACAAGTGCCTTCAGATTAAACTTAAACAAAGACACAACTCTGAATTGTAGAAACCCATCCAATTACATCCTAATGGCTGCAGACCGATGCGGTCTTAGTTTATCCAAGCATTTATAGAAACAAGATGCAACTACAAAAATAAGCATTCAAGGAACTTCATAAAATCAGCCACTCCCCACAGTTGTTCAAGTTAAAACATGTGGATTACTTAGGAAGCATTTTTGCTGATCTAGTTTTTAAATTTAAATTTTTTTGCAGAAAAATGCAGAGTTGCTTCTTGATAGACTGTGATCATAAACTATAAGCAAATAAGCCAAATGAAAAAAATAGGTATGCACTATCTATTATTCTACTAAAATTTAACTAGTCTAGATGCTGATACTGGATATTCCCTACAGCAGAAATTTTGAGAGAATACAGTCCCACTACTGTAGAATTCCTGAAATAAAAAATAAATCCCAGCTCAAAAATTAGGCAATCCCAATATTTCAGATACTTTCATTGTTACTAATTCATTTACTAGAAATAATGTAGATTTGCACTTTAAAAATAAGGGGCATATAGAGTTCTCAAAGGAAGTGTCAGTATAAAATAAAAGACAAAATTCAGATAAAAATTAACACAATGTGTTTTATTAAACTGCATTATATAATGGACAGAAGAATTTGTTATCCAATTGTATGCTGGATAGAAGAGATAGAGAGGAACAAATGGGATGACGTGAAAGACCAGGGTAATTTTGTCTTACGTGCATTTTTGGCTTAAATATGGTAGAAGCTATTAGTTTTTTCACAAAATAATGCCCTTCATGGAAAATGGGCATTGGTACTTACCGGTACTTACCTGATACACTCATTCTCACGGCAGGTGGAAATGTATTTTTGTATGTATTTTATTTATTTGAGTATTAGACTGAGTGATATTTTGACTGATTGTCAAAATGCAATAAAATTATAAAGCTAAAATAATTAAACAAAACAATGCCCAATAAAACAATAATTATACCTCAGGTGCCAGCCCCAAAGTACGTAGTATAAATAATTATACCTCTAAGGCCTTACAGAAAAGTTTTGATGATGGCTTTTTGGAATGATATTCATGTGGGTAACAAAATCCAGAAGATGGCATAGCAACCCAGAAAAGCATTATTGCTGACCACCACCACTTTGGCACTTCCCATACACACAGAACACTTAACATCTATACTTTTGTTAAACCTAAAGGACAGACTGTTGCACATGGAGGAGATAGTCCTGATTATACTCAGAGCCAAACCTATGTTGGGCTTCGTATGTTTAAGTCAATAATTTGAATTGCATCCATGTCCTACTGGAAGTTAATGCTGTTACATGGCTAAAGCAGTTCTTGTCGGTTGCAGGAACTGGATATGTCTAGTTTAATGAAAAGAAGGACTAGGGGAGACATGATAGCAGTGTTCCAATATCTCAGGGGTTGCCACAAAGAAGAGGGAGTCAAACTATTCTCTAAGGCACCTGAGGGTAGAACAAGAAGCAATGGGTGGAAACTAATCAAGGAGAGAACCACCTGGAGCTGAGGAGAAATTTCCTGACAGTGAGAACTAATCAGTGGAACAGCTTGCCTCCAGAAGTTGTGAATGCCCCAACACTGGAAGTCTTTAAGAAGATGTTGGATAACCATTTGTCTGAAATGGTATAGGGTTTCCTGTCTAGGCAGGGGATTGGACTAAAAGACCTCCAAGGTCCCTTCCAATTCTGCTATTGTATTGTATTGTATTGTCTGCTGGCATGTAAGATATTCTACATTCCATGTAAAGTGCATTATTATTCCAGTGGTGACGAGGGCATAAGTCCCCAGTATCAGAGCCTTCCACTCTTGATAGGCTCACAACTGGCACCTCAGCCAAAGATTGTCAAAAGCCAAAATGCCCTCCACTTGCAAATCCAGCAGAAGCAGTAAGTTCAGGAGAACGATGTCAGGCAAGTGAAAGATAGTATCTTAAACTGAAGATATAAATTAATTGTGCACAAATGGTGTAAGAAAAAATATGACACTTACCGAAGGATTTTTGCTCAGACCAACCTCTTGACCACAAAGACTAAGAACATGCACCAACTTTTCTTTTGTTTTTTTCTTTAAAGAAATAAAGGTGAAAGAACAGATTTTAAAAATAATAATGTTACACATATGATTTTTTTTAATAATGAGAAAAATTAGGAATGCTTGTAAAGAAAACCATAACTCTGGCTCTAATTCTTCATAATTTTAATTAATTAATTATAATTTAATCTGACAAAATATTACTTTGGTGCAGTTTGGATCCTCAATATTTCAGTACTTGTTAAACAATATTTCTATATTTCTGAACAATAATTAAAACTAAAGTGAATGAAACAAACCACTGATTAGAGAAAATCAGTAAGAAATTTACCTGGGAATACTGAGGTCTTTTCCAACTAACAGGCACAAGGACATTGGAATTAGACCCAGAAGATGTTGAAGATGTGCTTCTTGTGACAGGCATTATTCTATGTTTTCCATCACGACCCGAAGAAGTCTGCAGCTCATCATACCGCTTGCCAATAATTGGTGTCTTAAAGTAAAACATCAATAAAAATTTAAAATTGACATATGTCATTCTCACAGTGCCTATAGCAACTCTTAGCATGTGGTTTAACTCTGATCTGTACATGATCTTATTAATTAATAATGGCTAAATTGCCTATTTTGCTTAAATCATTAGTTTGTAATATTAGTTTATAATATGTATACTAGTGGTGCAGTGGTTAAAGTGCAACATTGCAGGCAAATTCAGCTCACAGCCCTCAGTGTGGAGTTTGATCCTGACAGAGCTCAAGGTTAACTCAGCTTTCCATCCTTCCAAGGTTGGTAAAATGAGGAAACAGATTGTTGGGGGCAATGTGCAAATAATGCTTACATTGTAAACCTCCCAGAGAAAGCTATAAAGTGTTGTGGATCAGTATATAAGCCCAAATGCTATTGTTATCTTAATTATGGTAAATACAGTACCTCAGAAATATCAAACTGAAACTCTAAAGTTTTTCCAGGCAGTTCCTTGGATGCATTATTCCAGATGCAATGTATTTCCATTTTTGAAATATCACTATGCTGATAAGAGGGTAGAACAAGACTTGCTGAGCGTGCAACCACCAATTTAAGTATATTCAGGGCTTCTCGCCAGTGAATGCTCTGTAAATAAATATTTGCACAAATATTCACAAACAATCACATACATTGAACAAAAATATATTTGTAACATTAAATACATCAGAGACTGATTGTATTGAATACAGAAAATCTGACTATTCTGTAATAATAATAATAATAATAATAATAATAATAATAATAATAATAATTTGAAATATTCCATGTTAAAAAAACCATATACTAAATACAAAAAGAAGGAAATGTTAGTAATATTACAAAATATTATCATGGCTTCTTGTTAGGCTTCTATTTGGCACAGAATCAGATAGCTTGGCATTTTTTATGTTTTCTAAACATTAGTTTAAAAGAAAGCAAGACAATATTGAATATTTTGAGAAGATTCCCAGATTTATTTTATTTTCTAAAACAATAAAAATAGTAAAAGTTATATCTAATGATTAAAGTGTATTATTTTTGTACAATAACAAATTTAAAATAGCAGGCTGAGGAGTATAGTGATGTTTTTGCTCATTGGTTCTATTTTCTGTCTGTCTTTATTTTATTATTATTTAACAATGTCAGACACATTTACCATGCCAATTTAACATACAAGTATTTACTGGAAACTTTGGTTTTAACAATTCCTGAATAAAGTAACTATAATAAAAACAACAACATACAAAGGATCATTTCATAATGTATAGTTACAGTATTTTACTAAATACCAGGCAGACATTAACATCATATTTGCCCATAATTAATATCTGTTATCTACTGTACAATTTATTGCCAAAGTTGCCCATTATTTTGTTCTTAACCTCCACATTTGCTACATTGCAAAGTTATCAGAATCTGCTAGCAGAAAACACATTTTGCTTGGTGAAGTTCAATTATCCTTCAGTAGAAGAGGAATTTAATTGGTGCAGAATTTTATACTGAGTCCCACAATGTACCTGCAGATTTAATTACACTGTGATTACTTCTGACATACATTGCAATACCAAGAAAGACGTTAGGCAAAGTGCTAATCCCCCATTTATTTAACAATGTTAAATGAAGGAAGAAGAGTGCTAGGTCTTTGAGACTGAGAGACATGGGAAGAAATGAGTGAATTAATACTGATTTCTACACAAGTACTATGAACAAAATATACTTACTTGTACGTATTTTTCTATGGTCTTTAGTACTTCCATGTTAAACTGTTTAACAGGTAAGTTTGATAAGTCCATATAACTAAGAAGACTATAGATTATTTGTAAAAGTGATTGCTGCATGTTAGGAAGCCCCTTTTCCAGTAGCTGTGAACAAAATTAGACAAACTCATAATCCTTAAATAAACCATAATAATAATTACTGTAGACAGCTAAAGATTAGAATTTTATATTGTAACAGAAAATAGATTAGTGTAGAAAAAATATGTGAACATCTGATATATTGAATTAGGAAACATAAATGTTAGCACTGCACATTTTTTCCAATTAATTTCAAAAGGTTGTTCAGAGCACATATAAATGAATGCAGCATCTGCCTATAAGTCTTTAAAGGAACTCTGTCTTTTCCCTTTAAATGAGCTGTCTTTTCCCACTCCCACATAGTGCAGTGGTGTCAAACCTGTAGTGTCACATTGTCATCGCGTGATGTATCACACCTTTTCCCCCCTCGCTAAACCAGGGGTAGCTGTGGCTAGTGGGAGTGAACCCATCAAGTGGCTTGCTTGATTGAGGGGGGCTGTATTGTTTTTTTATTGTTTGTATATTGGATTTTTATTTTTGTAAGCCGCCCAACATCACTGAGAGTGAATGGGCAGTCATACAAATTTTCTTAAATAAATAAATTTAAAACTGCTCCTGCTCCAAAGAAACTGGAGCACTGCACAGCCTTATTGCAGGGGTGGGTTCCTACCAATTTGGACCAGTTTGGCCAAATAAGTTGGACATGTGACCATACGGCTCATTTTTGCCCATTTTTTGCAAAAATTGGGGTGTTTTTACCTCCTCCCCCAGCCCTGCTGAACCCTGCAGAGTGTCCTGGAGGTAGGGGAGGACAAAAACTTTGTTTTCTTACTGGGCAGTTTGCAGGCATTCCCTTAGCTCTGGTGAGGCTGGAAACCCCCCCTCCCCCGTAAAAACTTTTCGCCACCATTTCGGTGGGCATGACTTGGTGAGGGGGTCACATTCTCCCCCATCTAGCCATGCCCACTGAACTGGTAGTAAAAATTTTTGAAACCCACCCCTGCGTTATTGGCTATAATCGTCACCAACTTTTTTACATCACAAATAATTTCTGTAATCTGTATTTAGACTCAGTGTTGTTCTAAATCTTTCAGGAAATCTATTATTAGAAGTATGAGAAGGAGGGATGAACTAATTAAAACATACCTCAGCAAGATAAGTAATCATATTCAGAGTAATGTCAGCAAATGCTTCATGAAGGTAACGGCAAACAACATTCACCCAAGTTGCACAATCTCTTGTATAGCTGTGTGTTTTATAGAGAGTCATGACATGTGCAAGATTTGACAACTTTGGGTTCTTTTCTTCTAGACAGACCTAACAAGTGAATGACAACATACATTAAAAAGAAAATGAAAAAAAATACAGCCCTGGATTTAAGAATATCCACATAATATTAAGCATAGAGTACCTGAGCAATCCTCTCTGCTATATCCTTGCAGAGCTGATTTGGGCCATCAAAGTGCTGAATTAAATGAGGCAGAAGGCATAAAACATTCAATGGAAATCCTGGCATTAAAAAATAGAAATAAACATAAATGTGACACTGTAATGTATTAGATGATAATAAATGAAACTGACTGAAAACATACATTATATACCAAAAATACAATCCATGTCTCTTTTCTTAATTCCAATTATGTGAAAATAATAATTGGGTACTTTGAGTCATTTATCATTTCATTAATTTGCAAAATGTATTGCTATTAATTATTGCATATGATAATATAAATGTATACTAATTATACACATAACATTTCATATCAGGTGTTGTTTGTAGATTTTTATGCTTGGGGATAACAATGATAAAATAATAGATTATACTTTCTTCTCGAGTAAAGGGTTAACTGGGCATCTTCTTACATAGAGGTAAGGAGGAATGTCACAATAACTTGGACAGAAAGCTAAAGGTAAGAAAAGAAAGGTGGCTTTCCAATTCCTCTTTAAATTTTAAATTAGTACTCAGTTCAGTAATAGAAAGAAGGAGGGTGAGCTAAAGGAAGAATGGGGAAACTTGGAATATGACACAATATTATTTTTTCATTTTAATTTACCAGGAAGCACAGACAGTAACCTTATGACCTATGTAATTGCTTAGCCTGTTTCCAAGGTTTTGTAATTAGCTATTTATAAAAAAACGTATTACCAAATCCAAGTTTAGCTTTCAGGATTTTATGCTCATTTTATTTTTGATATAAAAATAAATAAATGAAACATGTATTAGATGTACCTATAGCCTGAGAGGAATCAACCATGGATACACGTGACACTGGAGTCAGCAAACTGAAGAGCTGAAGTGTGAGATCAGTAGTTGTTAGAGAAGTAAAACCTTTAAGCAGAAGTTGCTGGAGCCCTGAGAAATCTGTCCATTTTAGTTGTCCTTGTAGCTTTTCTAATTTTTCCCTGTTTTCTACTTTATCCAGTGGCAGATGAACGAGGAGCTTACTGAGCAATCTTAATGCCATTAGGTATTCAAATTCAAAATCAGATTCCATCAAAGCCACTGCTCCCCAGAAAATGGTGGCCAGCAGGTTAGTTGGATTGTTAATATTGGTAGGGTCTGAAAGACTGTCCTTCAAAGAAGAGGAGCTCCTAGTTTTGGAGGAAAGGCCTTGCTGTGTGCAAGCCTGAATCCTATCCAGAGTGGCACTGCGAGGGGGATCAGAAGTTCTGTCCACAACCCCAAACTTTTTAGGCACTGAAAAACTCCTCTGATGTCTGCTACGCTCAGCAGTGCCTGTACTGCCACTGGCAGCTCCTGAATTCACATTAAGTTGTCCTGTGCTCTTCCGATTGGCTGTCAGTTTTGCACTTGATGTCAAGTCTGGTGAGGATGAACTAAGAGAAAACAATCATACGAATAAATTATCAATTTAATTGCAGCTGTAATACTAAGCAGAAATATCTTCAATGAGAGGTTAAAAAAACAAAGCTATTCCTTCCATAGATTTTCTGCTCATTGAACTCAAGAGATCATATCATGAAGGGACAAAAACAAAAAGTGCACTATGCAAGCCATCTTCCTTCTCCTATGTTTTAAGAACACTTTTTTTAGAAAGCAGAGAGTAAAATTATAATGGAACTATTGTATGAAAGATTGAAATGCATACAATACAGTACTGAGTCAAAGAAAAGAAAGGAAAGAAATTCCTGTGGACTTTACTCTGCTAGTTACTGCTGATTATAGGTGGCGCCCGTCCCTGTTTCAAGGTTGAGCCAGCACTGTTTAAAGACATTTCTGTGGTCATGTAGCCAGCATGATGTCATGGAGCACTGTTTCCTCCCCACTGAAGTGGTACCTATTTATCTACTCACATTTGCATGTTTTCGAATTGCTAGATAAGCAGTAGCTAGGCGAAAACAGATGCTCATCCTTGTTGCGAGACATTTTATTTTTCATGCCGCATTCAGAAGAGTATTTTCTTTTCTGTTTCTCTTTTTTGCTGTTTATTCATGCAGCATTCTACTCTACCAACAAACTAGTAACTTGACATGACAGGGGACTACATTAAGGTGAAGGTTAAACGTGTTCATCTTTAAAAGGGTTCATATTTTATTGTGCTTCACTGCTGGGAAGCAAGGAAACTACTAGTATTCCAATATCAAATGTTTCGTAATCACTCACAAATGTTAATATATTCACATCATTGCAAAATGTAACATAACCGAGGTGGGAAGGCTTTTGACATAAGAGGCGATTTTGCCTCAAGCTATACCAGTTTTAGTAGATGTTTTATTTCAGTTCTTTAAATCTAATAACTTCTTTGACAGGATAAGTAAATGACACACTTGCAGCTGTTATCACAGCTGAAATCTGGATGAAAGACTTCCATGTGGACAGATAGAAAGCTAAATATTGTAAGCTTATCTAATGAAACAGGAATATATGAGTCTTCATAAATTATGGCACTGTTAATATTTCACAAAAAAAGAACAAACAATATCCCAAATTGATTTACTAACGCCTACTCTTTTACAAGATCCATTTCTTTGAAATGCCAAGTGGGCTCAGATGTTGAGCCGACATAACATAAACTTCTATCAATATTGCAGAATCTCTACACTGTAACTGTATATTTTGCACTTGAATTACATCCTCACTTCTGTGTATACATGTGTAGTCCCGAATTTCTGGAAGTGAGGGAAGCCGAAGGTCAACTCATGAAGCTTTCCTGACCTGCTCCTGAGTTGCCATAGGCAGGGGTTGGGAAATCGCACCTTGCAGCTGCCCCAAAGAATTCATGCCTCTGTCAAAACAAAACACATCCTAGCCGCACGAAGGTCAAGGCCATCTCCATGGAGTCCTACAACGGCCAGAGGGAGTGACTTCTACAACCTGCGAAATTGCTTCGTTGGGAAATGTAGCTGGTGACACACCTTGGGGTAGTGGGCAACAGGGTCAAAGGCAAGATGCGAACCGGGTGAAGTCACAATTGCCTTCACTTAATTCGTGCCAACATGGTGCTCTTAATAAACAACTGGATGTTTCTTGCTAAATGGCTTGGGGCTCTTGCTTTTATTAGGGCATCGGTCGGAACCCTGACAACAGGCAGTTGCATTCTGAATTCCATAGCCAAATCTTTATAGAAAATGCTATATTTAATTGAATAGAAAAACTCATTACCATGATAAAAGATCACTGTTTTTCAGACAATCATACAGAGTATCCACAGTGGCTTCTAATGTAAGAAGGGCTTCCATAACGTAACCCTGCCAAAAAATACAGAAATATGATCATTTCAGTATATATATTTCACTTATTTAAAAGATTTCTATGGTGACCCCTCTTAAGCTCCCAACAATAATATAATCATTCCATTACTACCAGTAATGTGAATTATTAAACGTCTACTGCCTAATCTTAGTTTTCATTAAATATTCAAACAAACTCTAGCCTGACTGTTGGAATTAACTGTGAAAGAGATACTGTTTATGATAAGTGGTGCGTACATTTGATATTTGCTAAACTAAAATTAAGAAAAGAAACTACTAGAATACTAGAAAAGAAACTGCTAGTCCTTGTGAAAAGGGCTGAGTTAGATCGTCCAACAATGAAAGGCAACTTCTTATGTTTCTACAAAGATGAGTTAGGATAGTATTTATACCTGAATTTCTTCTCCATGTTCTCCTATAACTTCCACTAATCTTGACAGCAGATCGGACAATGCATGTGCTGAAAGTGGCTGTTTTAGAGCCCGAAATATCTGAAAAGAGCGGCCAGCATAATGTCTTGAGGAACTAGAAAGAGCTGTTTGCAATGCAATTTCACTAAGCTGCTGCTCCAAATGAAAGCCTGATGAGAAAACCAAACCAAACCAGGATCAATGTCATATTATCTCATAGATAATTCATGAATTTGAAATATATATTGCAAATTTTCTTTTTTGAGGCAACAAAAATATAAAGGAAAACATTGTCAGGAACCTTTACATTTTTAATCATAGGGAGGAAGCAAAGGCAAGTTAATGTGAAAATGATTATCTGAAGCATTTTTTATTTATCTATCAAATTTCTACACCAGCCATCTCATTTAGGTAATTCTGGGCAATTTACCATAAAAACATAAAAAGTGTGCATAAAACCATAAATACAACAATGTTAACAGATTTAAGGACAAACTTGAAATTATTACATATTAAAAGCTCTTACCAGAAGTGATATTCAAACTGTTCTCTCCAGTTCAGGTGAACTGGTAGCGGCAGCTGCAGGAGGCTCCACCCACCCTTTCCTGATGTAATGTGCAACCTTCTGCGCATGCACAGAAGGCAGTGCGCATGTGCAGTTGCAGCACATGCACTCACATTTGTGAACTGGTAGGGAAGGTAAGTGAATACCACCGCTGGTCTTAATATTCTTTTGCAAAGATGAAAGAATGGGGTCTCATCTCACTTCTGGGAGTAAGATGTTCCGAACATGATCCACTGGTCAAAATTATTTAACAACAATATACCCCCCACCCATGTCTGATCTGGTGGGATCGGACAATGTAATTGGGATGAGACAGTTCCTTAGGAAGGCTGGTCCCATGCCTCAAAGGGCTTTACATTTGATAACTTTAAATTGGACCCAGAAGCAAACTGGTATCCAATGCAGCTTGTATAGCAGAGATGTTACATGTCTGAGAGTCTCTCAAAACTATTCATGCCACTGCATTCTGCACCAGTTGCAACTTCTGGATATTCTTCAAGAGTAGTCCCATGTAAAATGCATTGCAATTCTCCATATAAGAGATAATTAGGGCATGAGTGACTAAAAGAAAGGCTTCTTGATTCAGGAAAGGGCATAACTGGTGTGCAACATGAAGTTGAGCAAAGGCCCTCCTAGCCATAACTGCCACTTGGTTCTCGAGCAGGAATTGTGAGTCCAAAAGGAACCTGAAATTATACAGTAGGTCCATCTGGGGCAGTGCAACCTCATCCAAGACCAATGATGTTAGCTCCCAGATGCAAAGTAACCTACACACAGCCACTCCATTCTACCAGGGTTCAGTTACAGCCTGTTTGTACCCCATCCAATTATCCACAGCCTCTAGGCACCATGAAAGAAGGTTTACAGCATCATTTAATTCACCTGGGATGGAGGTATATACCTGCAATATACCCTCCCTGTCTGATTAGGTGGGATGGGACCTCAGTATACTGGGTAACATCAGCATACTGATGGTACCTCCTCTTATGGTGACATATGATCTCACTTAGCAATTTCATGTAGATGTTAAAAAGGAGATGAGACAGCAATGAATCCTGCAGTACCCCACAAATCAAGGACTGCAGTTGCACATCTCTTTCCTTATCAACAATGATTGGGACCAGTCCCATAGGAAAGAGATGAACCAGCATAAGTGTGCCCTGAATCCCAATTCCTAAAGATCAAAAGAATACCATGGTTGACAAAATCTACCAAGAGGTCAAGAAGAGCCAGGATGGATGTACTAGCTCCATTCCGCTCCTGCCAGAGGTCATCCAAAAGTGTGACCAATGCTGTTTCATTCCATATCCGGATCTGAAACTTGACTGGAAGGGCCCAAATAATCCTTTAGAGCTGCAGCACAATCACTACTCAACATCTTCCCTAGAAAGGAGAGATCGGAGACTGAATGAAAATTATCAAGAGTGATAAAGTCCAGTGATGGCTTCTTATAAAGAGGATGTATAAACATGTCTTTAAATGGTGCCAAGAATAGCATTCTCTGTCAAGAATGAATAGTTCATCTCTAGGATGCACCCACATGTCACCTCCTAGGTGCCTCAATCAAGCAGAAGGGGCATAGATATGAACCACAGGTGGCCATGCAGATTGAAGACTGTCCATTTTCTCAGCACCAATAGAATCAAACAGACGCCAGATAAGATGCCCCAGGCATCTCCAATGTACCATGCTTGTCTCCAATTGAAGAAATGTCTTTAAAACTCTTTAAATATTAAATATTAATATAATAAAACTCTTTAGATATTAAAGGGTTTTGCAAATTTTGTCCCTGAATCCCTAAGGAATGCTGGAAAACTTCCTCACCTGAATCCTGATAAAATCAGATTCTCTTCAATTTGATCTGCCTCTGTTATAAACCATAACCAAATAGGAAATCAATAAAGCAATACAACTAAAATCAATTTCTTGTGCTCCTAATTTGTGGCAATACTCAAATCATAAAAACAAATCTATGTGCCATGATTTATTTTATTTTTACTAGTGATCATGAGCAACAATTATTGTGAAAATTGGGATTTTGTCCAGCAAAATAAAATGAGAGAAAGCTGCTTATTAAGTAAAGGTGTTATACAATTAATTGGTTTAGTACCTGATTTAGATTCTTTAAAGACAGACACAACATGATGCAAGAAATTGGTAAGCTGCTCTGCACTTTTTGTATTCTGGTTTTTGGGTGTGATATCTTCATGGCACCACAGCGGACCAAATGCCCTTAAAAATAAGAAATTTGATATATTTATTTTGAGATTTAAAAAAATTATTTTAAATAGCATAGCACAATAGCACAGTTCCCATACATCCTCCTTCAGATTATAGGCAAATGGTTTACAGTAACTTTGTGTAAAGTCTTAGTAAATAAATAATGATTCAATCCTATTAATTCTATTAAAACTTGGAGAGGGCATACCTTTGATTCAATCTTGACTCCTGTCAAACACTTTTCTTGGCTATAGTGATTTACCCTTGCCTTCTCCTTTCTGGGACTGAGAAAAATTACCAGTCCACAATCATTTAGCTGATTTTGTGCCTAAGACAAAAGTATGTAGAACTCACAGTTTCCCGGGGTCTAAGAGCCTAGTGCTTTAAACCACTGCACCAAACTAGGCCTCATTTATCCAAACACATCACAATTTTTTTCATTCTTACAATAAAGAGGTCAATTTGTCACAGAAATATACCACTCTAATTAGGAAATCAATCAAACTTGTCTATAGCAACCTTTCCCATCCAGGTGCCTTTCAGTCAACCCAGGAATTCAGGTTCCAATAGTTTATAGACACAATTTGGGGAAAGGAAGACAGCATTTTGATACTCTTATTAAGAGCAAATGATCATATGAAAAGTTCTGAATTATGCTACCCTCATGTTAAATGGCTAAGAAGGAAGAGCTTCGTAGTCACTATATGGTCACAATAGAAAGCAAAATAATGCCCTCTTGATGTGATGTTCTTTCATTGAATTATGACTCTTTCCTTGCTCATTCTCACTAAAACTTGTTGTATTGTCAGGAAATTTAGGTAAGCCTTTTAACTGTTCTAAGAGACTACTGATGTGCACAATGTATAAATATGTTTATCAATTTTTAATAAGTAAGAAAAGATGAAAAACAGAGTTTTAGTCTCTGATGCAGAAAGTATATCTCATTTCAGCTAACTATGAAAAACATCAACAAATATTAATTTAAGAGTCTGCTCTGAATTTTAATGGGGAATGAAGTATTTGAGTGAAAGTGCCAATTTTTATTTCACAGAGTGATGCTATATCTTTTAAGAAGCAATCTGCCAGCTGAAAAAGAATTATTGTATTATACTCTTCTTGAAATAAACTGCTTCAAGCAAGTCAAATGCCTTTCTACATCTGTTTCCTATACCTCAGGGGTGACAAACTTGATCACATCGCGGGCCATATTGTGATGTATTGTGATGTTTTGTGCCTTTGTGGAGCCGGGTAGGCATGGCCTGCATGGGCCGTATCTGGCCCGCGGGCCCACAGTTTGACAGGCCTGCTGCTATACCTGTTTAATAGTTCACTTCTGGCTAAGATTAGAAAGAGGGAGCCTCAAACCTGCCTGTTACTTTACTGTAAAGCAGAAAATGAGACATCGTGCCCATGCTGTTATACTCAAGAAACCTATTAGTGAAAGATACTTTTTTTCATGAATTATGAATTACACAAATTCTTTTAAAGCACACAATACTGCTTTTAAGAATTAAAATGGGATATTTATTCTGCCTTAGTTACCTGGTAGTTAAAAACTCTATTAGTTTGTTTGCTTTTTCATTTGTCTCCACAGTTGGGTCAATGTCTTCTATCTCCTGGGTGATTTGTGGGAGATTTCCACTGCTTCCTCCAAGGCTGATGCTGGAAGAAGTGGAGCTGGAGCTGAGCCCAGAGTCTGGCACAGGGGAAGACTGATACTCCCTCAGAAAGTCAAAACCACCTAGCAAAAACATGGGGGAAAATCTATTTTAACATAGAAGTCATAATTTTGCTACATTACAGTCACTGTGAGATAGGTTACATGCATATACACACATATATTTTATTAAGAAATATGAAAATATGCCTTTGAAGAAAAATCTGAAATAGATAGATCCAGTTAGAACATAGTACTAAAACAATATATGTGTCTAAAATGTGCTTCTGCAGAAAAGGAATCTTTGTTATAATCATTCTTTTCTACGTTGAGCACCACAGAATTATGAAAGTGATGACACCCAAATTCAAACAAAATTGAAATAAAGCAGAACAATTGGTTTTTCATTACCTGTATAGAAGAATTCAGGCAAATGCACAGGCTGAACTGTAAGCGTCTTGGTTTCATTCATCTCTCTAGTCTGAAGAAGCATTGAGGCTATGGCTTGAAAATTGCTATTGCATGACAACACAATCAGCAGATGTAGCAACAGCTTCCTGCTATGTTCAAAGACTTCTGGACGATAATGATCAAGGCCTAAAGAAAACAATCAGGAAGTTTAATTAATTAAGAAGCACAAAAAGTTCATATGTTAGAAAAAGGTAAATGTTTGGAGGGCCTTTTATTTGGGAAAACCAAAAATATAATTTTATTCTTGTTTATTCAGCTTACATGATTTTTATATGTTCTAAAAATAATAGTTGTAATATTTAATTGGATTGATTTATTGATTTATTGATGACCGGATGCATTATTGGGAGACCTGATTGGTTGGGTTGAGAAAGATCACTCTGAAAGTTTTATTTGACTGATTGCTAAGAACTGATTCGGCACATAATTTAAAAGTTAATTAGCAATCGAGATGCAACATTTAATTGTATTAATTTATTTTAATAATTGTTTGTAATAAAGTATTAACACGCTTGAATAAATCTTGACTCCTGTTGATATATGTATATGGACAGTCATAACTAAATTCTATAGTAGTAGTTTGTCACTTCATTTTCTGGGATTTTTTTAAGCTCTAGTTTACAGCCCAGAAATTCCATAGACATCTCCCATAAATTATTACAGCATGAATTAGAGGAATTCTACCTCTAATACTCATGTCTTTGAAGACAGACCCATCATCCTAGCAACAACCAAAAATTTAACTAAAACAATAAACATCATACTATCTATGACTACAATCCCAAACATTAGAGAGAGAGAGAAAATAATTGAATCCAGTGGTAGGTAAACATAAAAAAATCTCATAGGACAATTGGTTAATCTAGAGTTTATTAAACTGTAGACTACAACAACAGCGTGGTTGTGACCAATTTTGAGAGGTTTACACTTATTCTGCTCTGCCTGGATATAGATGACCTTTGCTAAGCTGCTGGCCCTAAGCTTTCTAAGTTTTCTTTAATAATCTTTGCACTTGCAGCAACAGTTCCTTTCATATCTCCAACCTGTTCGGTGGGGTCATTCCAGGCGGGGATTGAGGTGTTCTTGCCTAATCTCATTGTTCTTCTCTTCCAAGGATCACTGTTTGGGATTTCTTCCTGGAAGGCATCATGCCAAGTCTTTGTACTGAACCTGGATATGTCTTCCAGGCAGTCTGAGTGCTTTGTCTTCTCAATTTTTGCTGAAACATGAGGCCTCATGACAGGAAGTTTACAGTACTATCAAAATATAGTCTGCCAATTTTATTCTTGGAGAAATGTCATTCAAATTCATGTATTATTTTAGTGATTCATCTCACTTTCAAAGTTTGAAAATCCCAAGGACCAGTTAATAGTCTTAATAGTATTTCAGGTTCTAAATGGCCACGATTTAATAATTTCCCACCAATAGTATAATGCAGGGGTATCCAAACTTGGGAACTTTAAGACTTGTGGACTTCAACTCCCAGAATTCCCCAGCCAGCATGCTGGCTGGTCCACAAATCTTAAAGTTCCCAAGTTTGGACACCCCTGGTATAATGTGACTGATGCCATTTTAGAATTAAAGTATAAAATAAAATTAAGTACCATAATAAAAAGTTAGAAAAACTTCAACCTTGTTCATTTTTCCCCATACAGAATATATGGTTTCTGATTCTATAAGATGTTATTGTGGGAATTTCTGTCCAACATTCTCTCATATAATTTATTGCCATTTTTTTCATAAATGTAATACTTTTATTTGAGGGAAAAGATACTCTATTAGAAGATATGAGGGAGTTGGTAGGAATAACACAAAGGAGTACAAAAAATTATAATTGGGCCAAAAATGAATGAGAATAATTGTTTAATGAGGAGATGCATAGAAAAGCTTTGTTAACATACTCAATTTCCACTTAAATTTTTGTTTAGTCTTTATTTCTTACCTAAAAACAGAGCATGCAACAGCAATGGAAGATGAAGAGCCCAGTCTTCTCTTACACTATGATCTACTACCATTTCAGTCATGAAGATAACAGCAATATTGCATCTAACAAGAAAAATAAAATTAATCAATTCAAAAACTGCAACAAGAAATACGAAAAAAGCAGAAAACATGAAGAAGCAGTTCAAAAAATACCAAGAATAGTACAGGTATGTGACAATTTCTAAGCTATAGTAAAAGTGAAAGAAATAGAAGGGTGTAGCCTCCCGCCCCCGCCCCTACTGGTTCGGCCGATCTGGGCTGAACCGGGAGCAACCCACCACTGATCCTATCTGATGCTGGTATTTCTTTATGTTTAGAATATAATTGATCAAACCATTTTCATGTGGCAAAATGGATTTATAATTGGAACAGATTCATGAAAATACTGTCTCATAAGCTGCAAAGTTAGCAGTCTTAAACTAAAAAAATAGAAAAAATAAAAAGAAGTGAACTTAAATAATATTTTCACCTGTTTCATAAATATAATTTGTAGACAGAATAACCCTGTTATTGGAAGAGAAAAGCAAGCAGAATTTGGCTACTTTACTAAATATCTTCAATTGTTTTTAATTTTATTGCCCAAGCCAAGTGCCAATCTGGCCTGCTGGATGATATTTGTAAAGTAATAAAGGAATTAAATAGTGCTGAATTTCAAGGAATGGGTTTATAAAAAAATAATAATTCTAATTTTATAATTCTGAACAAACTACTTTAAAATGGATTCACAAGAGACATTAGAGATGTACGAAGAATTAATAGCTATGGTAAAAAATATGTGTGAATCATTACTAAAAGGAACAGGTTTTGTTTTGTTCTAATAGTGGTTAAACAATTTTCAAACAAAAGGTAGATCAAGACAACACAAGAAACATTAACTAAGGTGGAACAGATTTTGAAAGATTATTCTGTTTATGCTAAGATACAATGATTAGAGGTGTTCTGTTTAAATTGTATGAGTAAATAACTGAAATACACAGCCCCTGCCCTATCCATAATTTCTAGTATATAAAAAATACCCCAAAGCATATTTACTTTGAAGGACTGAAACATTTGCTGACACCCACTCTATGGATTTCATGATGCCACTCACCATGGCTTTTATGGCTTGCAAGCAGAGGCCAAAATCATAGTACAGCCCCCAGATTAAAAAAAATATTGTCTACTTCCATAGTCCTACAGACTATGTCAGACTATGTCAGACAAACTCTAAAGACAGAATGAACTATTAGATGAACCAGTTAAAATATGTTAGGAATCTGAGGTTTCTTTATATTGTGCTTACCTATGGAGCGGTCCCCGTGGTGTAATTGTTTCTGGAAGGTAGTCAACAAGTGGTGCCCAGCACCCTCCATTAAATGGCATTGGCAAAGGTTGTGGCTGTTTCATTTCCACAATATTCAGAAGCCAACTTGTATATGGAGAAATAGGATCATCTGTGCAGAAACATTTATTACATTTCTACACTGTCCAACAGCCAACCCTTTTGGAGCAGTGTTCAAGTAAATTAAGATCAGAGAAACAATGCAGTACAAATATCAAATCTTATATAATAGCTAAAAGAAAGCAATATATGCCTTTGGGAGGCTATTAATTAATTTATTCATTCAATTTATATGTTGCCCATTTTGCCTGACCATAGGTGGCTTACAATAATTAAAAATAAATAAAGATATTAAAACAATAAGAAATAGTAACATTAATTAAGATTGACAAAAACTAAGGAGGAAAGAAGCAAGATGCACAAGAGTGGAGTGGGGTCTTGTCTTAATCTGTTAACCATCTCCAGACTGATGCCTCCCCTTGGGGATCTTTTCAGGGTTTAAAGCAGCATTTTAAATAAATCTAGATAAAAGCAGTGCAGTTAGAAGATATTGGCACAATGGCATTACTAATGCCATTGACAACATTGCTCTTACTAGACTACTATATTAAGCTAATACAAAATGTTCAAAATCATCAAGATAAAGCGAGCATGGAACAATCAGTTTTGGCTGATCAGTATCAGGACTAAATGTTTTGTCCAGCCACAGCCCCCAAACACATGTACTTTGGGTAGAGGCATTCTGAGATGAGGAAAGACAGACAAAGGAAAGGTCATTGGTAACAATTTGTGGCATGCCACCTGGAGGGCATTAGTAACTATGACAGCTTCTTCTCTTTCCTTGTTTTTCTACCTCTGTGCTGCCTTTTGCTCTTAATGATGGGATGTGCCTGCCAGTCACAGACTGGTACATAGGATACGCTGAGCCATAAGCTAGCCAAGAAATTATATTTCTCCATGCTGTTTGAACTGAGCCTTTGTGGTTAGTGTGCAGTGGGTGAACTAAGGGAAGGTAAGGAAAAGCCTGCCTCGTCCCCCAGAAGATCAGGGGGAGGAGGCAGGCCACCCACTTTAACATGGTGTGCTAGAATTCAAGGTAGGATGAGACTAAAGTACTGGAAGGTGTATAGGGCTAGAGCCGAGACATTTATTGCTCTGATAGCTGAACCATATGTTTGCTGTGCTATATGCTGCTGATTGCTTTCTGTTTGACAATTTAATAGATAGGGAGTCTGATATTTCCATCACTACAGTCAATGCACACTGTGAATACTCGATGCATTTTTTATACACAGGTATTTAGATAAGACAAATACTAATCAGATGCTAATCTTCAAGTTTAACTGAAATTTGAGTGTTAAAAACACTTAAATTCAACCAACTGAAAGATTTAAATGAGATTGAAACAGATATTTAATACTTTTTATTGAAATACTCTGTCAAATACTCTGTACAAATCATGTCTACCTAATATTAGCAAATAACAACATTCACAAAAATTAATATTAATCAAATATCAAGACATACTTTTATCATCGTCGTAAGATCCTCCGGAGCTATTGCTGTATCTTGATTCTAATCGGTTATGTGCTCTGATCACATTACTAAACCTTGCAAATTGGAAGAAAACCACACAAAACCTATTTAAAATCTTAATACATGCTCAATTCATAATAGCATTATATATCCTGGTGGATGGATAAAAATGTATCCATTCTTATTTTAAATTCATCTCTCAATTTTTTCACCTCTAACATCCACTAGGCCCTCTACTCATATTAGTTTAGATTCTTTTCCAAACAAAAAGTTAGGTAAAAAAAATTGGCAGCATTTTTATCTAAAAGTCCTTTCTCCATAATCAGTCTAAAAAGTTTAATCGTTTCCAATAGGATATAACTTCCCTGAGCCTGAAAATTTCTGAATTTCAAAAATGAAAAAAGCTTAGTTTATTAGCAGAAAGCAGAACTTCACAAAACAGGGAATAGATATTAAAAATATAAGCCTTTCTATAAGCAATGTCTAGATACAACTGAGACATTTACAGGTAAACATTTTTTAAAATGTTAAAACTTATTTTATAGAATTGTAAGATACAGATGGTAGAAGTAGCTTTATTAGGGAAATTTGTATCTTAAAATAATAACAACAGAAGTCTAGGTTTGTTCTTTTCCTCCCATGAATGCTTCCATGCCCTCTTTCTACCATAATAAATATTGATAAAAACTTGATAATAAGTCCCTGATGGATGTTAGTGCTGCCTGCACATTACTTGTGGCAATCTCTCAACCAACCACTGGATATTAATGCTACCTACAGACTATTTGCTATTTGTTTTGATCACCATAAACTAGGGCCACACTAGTGTCTGCCTCACTAGTGGCTTCTCCATTGAGATCTTGAAGGATCTGTGTGGACTGGTAAAAGTTGCATAGCCTTGTATTAGAGAAGAGCTATCTTTTCCTTCAACAGGTAAATGATCTGAAGAAGTCTAGCTACTGGGACAAAGATAGAGAGACTTCAATCAGACATTCAGTGAGATTGGCTGAAACCTCATAATGAGAAGTAGGTACAAATAAATGTTCACTATATAGACAATCAACCTGAACATTAGAAAATATACTTTACCCTTATCCAAAGCCCATCCACAGTTTTAATCATGAAAATATTACTCAAAACAGTTCCAAACTGTAAATATATGAAAATCAAGTTTATGTGTATTCCAAGTTCTAGTCTTTAATTGTTAATCTCAGAAACCACAGATCATTAGATTGGTTAATGTGGTTAATGAGGATTACCGGTAGTCAAATTGGAGAACTACTAAGCATTTTCTAGTCCAGAAAAAAAGGAGAAAAAGTCTGAGATGTTTATTACAGACCTCTCATCTGTCTCTTTTAGAATTCTATTGTCTTCAATGTCTGGAAAACTATCTTGGCCAGCTACAACAGTGTTACTACTTGATGTAGTTCCTATATATGTAAAATCAAAAGTATGATTAAAAATAATCATTTTCAAACCACATAAATACATAAAATACATCCAACACAATGCATAACTCAACGATCAGCAAACCCACACCATATTTGTTGGCTTATATAACATGTTAAGTCATGTTATAAATTAATATCTGTTTAAGTAAAAAAAAACATTTTGCTGTTAATATCTTTCCATCTCTCTCACATATGCAACTATTTGCAAATTATAAACTGATGGAATAGAACATCAGATCAGAGAAAGCCTCTTTTGACCCCTATCCTTAAATTACTTCCATATTTTCCCTATAATAGATTCCTTTTGATGATGGTGGTGGTGATGATTCTATCATTTTATGCATATATGATTAAAACTTTACATATTTCAGGCTCAATGTATATGAATAGCGATACATATATAATGAATATTATATCTGGTTATATTTTAACTTCAACACTAATTGTGCAATACAGATCAAACATCTGTACTGCCCAAACTTTCCAGAATCTTGTAACAGGACATAAAAGGTTAGCATAATGGCAAACTACATTGTGAATAAACTGAAAGGCAAAAATTGAATCAACCAATAACCTCAGGGGAAATCCTACAGGTAATTAAATAGTTAAAGTCAGGGAAGGCACTAGGCACAGATGGCTTGACAGCGGCTTACTATAAAAAACTTACAGTTGGAAATGGTAGAACCTCTTAGAGAATTATTTAATAAGATTCAAATGGAAGGTAAGGTACCCCCTTCATGGAAGACAGCCTTTATATCCTTGATACCCAAAGAAGATCAAGATACTACCCAACCAAAAAACTACAGACCTATTTCATTACTTAATGTAGACTACAAATTTTTTACTAAAATATTAGCAAATAGGTTAATGCTGGTTAACCAACAATTGATACACGCTGATCAAACAGGTGAATAAACTGAAAGCATTTGTCTGTTGTTACAATAGGGCTAGCTCATGAATGTAACTATCCTAATAAAGCCTATAGCATGTCTTCAGTTAATAAAAACTTGCCATTTATTCTTAGAAACACTAAATCTGACAGCAAATAAAAATAAATCTAAAGATTCATTCTTTGTTCTGTAGATATTAAATGTTGATTCAAACTTATTTAGAGTAGGCCCCCTGTGATCAAGAATATTTAACTTAGTCGTGGTTACTTGATTTCAAAGAATGTACTCTAATCTACTTTAACTGTGAGGACTAGACCTACATATTTATATCTTGATGAAATATTTCAGTCTGAGAAGCACCAAGCAAGATATAAGAGAGACAGTCAAATGTAACACACACAACTCTGTTCTGAAAGGTCCATAATTCCTTCCAATGTAGTATCTCTTCCAATAAAAGTAGAAAGATTTAATTCTTACCAGAAACAACAACTGAAGCTTTGTTGCTGGCAGTAAAACGATAAAATGGTGGATTGTCACAATGCTGAACTATGGGATTCACGGGATCTGTTTGCTGGAGCTCAAATAAAAGTTCTTCCATTGTTTGAATAGTATTGTTCCGACACAAATAGATGGCAACTTTTTTGATCTGAAGAAAAAGTAGTATTTAACAGCTTTTATCTATAAAATGGTAACGTGAAAATGTGCACAGTGGACATATAGATGATATTTTTGAATAATATAATAATAGTAATATAAAATGACCTTCTTCATATTACTGGCTGTCAGATGACAGAATAATCTGGAAAGCACCTGAATGGGGAAATACCGTTTTGCCCAGAAACTAATGGGCCTAACAGCTATCCAGGATTATTCCCAGAATATGAAAGCATACAGAAACTGATTACAGAAAGATTCTGTAATAGAGAAATAAAGAAATCACAACTACATTGTAAAATAATATTGTCATGCCATTGAACAAGTTCTCATTACATAAGGTAGAAATGGGGATTAATTTTTGTGGTCTGCAAAGGGTTATAATTTTGTTTTGAAGTTGATCTGCAAGGACTTCAGAGTACATGTTGATTTTAATTAATAGGATAGGGGATATTTTTTATTAATTTTGGTGTGATTTAGAGTTAATATTCTCAAAAAACATTAAAATTAAACAAAGGCATGGTTTCCTTCAGCTTAACAGGGAGTTGTGTGCATACAAATGTAATAAATAAGTAAATAAATACAATTAGAATTTAATTCTTGATGAGTTTATGGGCACATCCATATTATATATTTGACTATAATATAAAACTGTTTCTTGTTAAACTCTTCCAGATATGTCTTTCCCAGGCTGATCCTACAGCTCTGTGTTTCCTAAAGGTCTTCCATCCAAATGGCAACAAGATTCCACCATACTTAGCTTGAGATCAATCAGATACAACTAGTAGGTGCTATCCATAAGTTCAGCACAGTGAAGTTTACCAGAACTTTTAAAAACTGTTTTACAGCTTTTTTGTTTTTGTTTTAACTGTAGTATCATCAAAAATTGATCATTTGTAATCAAGTGTTGACAATGCAGTTTCTGAGACACTACCCTTGTTAAACTTTGGGTTCCACATTTCACATGAAAATAAAGAGATATCCTTTATAAAGTCTATTGAATATTTGGTATCTTTTCTCCTACATTCGGGAAAATTATTAGAACAAATTCATAAAACTGTTCCTGATACATTATTTTGAATAGATATTGTTTTGTCCCATAAGAATAATACAACTTTTTTTAAAAAATCACTTACGTATGGTAAAAGAATTGTATCACTGCTGACTCCACATAAGCTTATCAGAAACTGCAAAGTTATTCTCAGGTTGTTGCTCCATTTTTCATTATTAGCTAAAGCATTCCAGACATTCTCCATTTCTGGTCCAGGAACTTCATCTCCATACTAAACAGAAATATGAAAAATGAATGTGATCGGAATACAATGAGTGATTGCTAAAATAAGTGAAATATAAGACAAACTGAAAAGTAATCAATGGACTAAGGAGACATAGGAGAAATATCTTTTTTGTGCACACAATCCATTTGAGTAATAAAGGTCAAGCTACATTAAATCCTTGCTGGTATAAAATTGGAGAAAAGTACTGACAAATACGTACTGACTGATATTTAATAATCAGACCTTTCCAATATATCATTATGTAGCATTGTGCATATAGAAAAGAGGAATAATTATTTATGCAACTTTCAATCATAGTCTAATACTATGTCACTATATTTCACATTTTATAGACTATTATAAAATATGAAATGTAGTGGCGTAGTATTAGACCAGGATTGAAAATTGCCCGGGTATTTATAGATGTCAAAGCATTTGTCTGACAGGGAGTCATTGAGAGGGGCCTTTCTTTCCCCTACTGTCATGCCCATCAACCTGCCTTCTCCCTTCCCCCTCCTATTCACTCCTCTTTCCCACCCTGTCTACGATCCTGGCACTTTGCCCCAAATCCATCAAGCGCTTCCCCATTGGTCCACTGCAGGCCAAATGTCATGGCTGGCTTTCCAGAGGAAGCTGTGAAGGAACTGACATCACAAACAATTGCCACTCTAGGATGCCGCACTCGCTCTCCTTAACGGCCCAGGTTCTCCCTTCCCCCCTCCCATGACATCACAATTGACGCTCTAGGCCGCCGCACTCACTCTTCTTAATAGCCCAGGCATTCCAGAGTTATGCTGGAACACATACACAGATACACACACCCAAGGGTATCTTACCCCCTCCCCTCAGTATTTGTTTCCAGCGGGTAAGTCATCTGTGTACCAAGTTTGGTTGAAATTGTTTGTGGCGCTCCAGAATTATGCTGGAACATACCTACCTACCTACCTACCTACCTACCTACCTACCTACCTACCTACCTACCTACCTACCTACGTACAGCCTTTTTAATATAGATAAGAGAGAGAGAGAGAGAGAG